CTCTCCTTCTTTATGGCACAGTGGTCCTCCACTGTACATCAAATCCTACGTATTATCTATTCATCCACTGCCGGACATAGAGGCTGCTTCCAAGACTCTGCTATTATGAATTGCACTACTGTATTCATGGATGTCCATGTATCACTGTGCTAAATCTTTAACTCTTTGGGGGAGATACCCCAAAGGTGAAGAGCTGGGTCAAATCACCATACTGATTTCCATAATGGTAGTAGTTCATGTTCCGCCACCAATGCAGAGGGGTTTCTTTCCCCCTACAACTTCTATGGCATTTGCTCTTATTTGGTGTCTTGATGACAGCAATTCTTTCTGGAGTAAGATGTTTTAATTTGCATCACCTGAATGATCAGAGATGTTGAACAATGTTTCATATATTTAGTAGTCATTTGTACTTCTTTCTTTTGCCCATTTTTTGGCTCCTCAAATGCCTTCAGGGCACTTTTGGTGGGCTGGAGTGTTGTGGGGATCGAACTACAGCAACCTGAGGCTGCCAGCTTTGTGGAAGCAGCCACTTACAGAACTGAGCTAGGGCCAGGCCCCCATCTTTTGCCCATTTTTGACTGAGTCTTCTATTGGAGGGGGGTCTAACTTTTTTGAGTTCTTTATTTCTTCTAGATGTGAGTCCTCTGTCCAAGGAATACCTGCCTTTTCAATTTAATATGATCTCATTTGTTGTCTCTTAATGTTATTTCTTATGCAATTGGGGCGCCATTCAGAAAATCCTTGCTTACAGCTATGCCTTCAGGAGTTTTAGCTATTTCATCTTCCAGAACATTAAATGTTTTTGTTTTAAAACATAGATCTGCCGGGGAGATGGCTCAGTGGAATGAGTGCTTCCCTGGCAAGCGCAAGGGCCTGAGTTCAATCCTTAGTTTCACAAAAAAAAAAAAAAAAAAAAAAAAAAAGCATAAAATCATAGGTCTTTGATCCATTTTGACTTTAGTCCGTGGTAAGACATATGGTATAGACTCCATCTTCGGCATGTGGATATCCAGCACCATTCATTAAAGCAACTATCATTCCTCTAGTATATGTTTTTGTCAGATCAGATGCGTGTGGCTGGCATTGTTTTCTGGCACAAAACATTGATCTACACTGAGCCATTGCTCCACATGTTTTCGTGTCAGTACCATCCTAGCAGGCTTTCTTTCAGGAATCTCATAGTTTTTCAACTATGTGCTCACCAATGGTGCCCATGCCTTCAAGCCCCCTCCCAACACCCAAAGAACTGGCTCCAGCCTCTCTGAGAGCCTGCAATGTAGCAATCAGGGCTGGGCCTCACCTTCTATTCATATTCAAGTTCTGGCAGATTGGAGTGGGGTGGGGCCAGGTCTGTAGGGTTTACTGGTATGCCCAGAGAGCAGAGCGAACAGGGAAGCCAACCAGGCCTAGGGAAGTGATTCCATGACCCTGTGGCATACATCCAAAGTATAACTGAACCCTGAGTGGATTCCCTTGTCACCTACCACCTGAACAGCTGTGATATTCCCCACAGAAGATCACAGATCTTCCCCACCTATCTGTGCAACCACTGGATGCTGGATACTTGGGGAACACAGACTCATGAGTCAGGGGACAAGTGTAGACAGGGAGTCTAGATTTTAAAACCAGTATTTACAGTAAAAATCAGGTAAAGATGAATTACCTTGAAAATATCAGGGGCTAGGGAGATGGCTCAGTAGAATAATCGCTTGCCTGGCAAGCACAAAGTCCTGAGTTCAATCCCCAGTTCCACCAAAAAAAAAAAAAAGGGTTAAAAAAAAAAAAAGAAAATATCAGGGATATACCAAGTGAAAAAGAAAAAAATTGTAAGCCTAAGACAACCAGTTTTTCTCAAGCATAGGAACAGAATCTCTTCAGTTGAGCAACAGGAGTAGTTAGTTGGTTTATGTTTGGAGGAATTAAGCATCTATGGTAAAACACTGGAATTTTGACAACCAGGACAAGAACTAAGGTGCTAGGTTTGTCTGGGTGTTTTGTTTTGTTTCTTCAGTACTAGGGATTGAACCAAGGCCTTTGCACTGAGTTACTCTACCAGCCCTTTTTATTTTGTTATTTGAGCCAGGGTCTGGTTATGTTGCCCAGGCTGGGCTTGAACTTGTGATCTTACTGCCTCAGCCTCCCAGAGGGCTTGGGTGGTAAGCAACTCTCCACCTGGAGAGACACTAAGTTTAAACATATGGGTGGTGTGGGACATGTAAGAGACACCTAGAAACTGAGGTGACTGCAGATTCACCCTGTGTGCTCAGGAACTGAAGACTAGGAGCTTTGTTTTCATTTGTTAAGAGTGTGTGATTTACGCGGGGTGTGGCACTTGCACTCTGGGATCCACTCTGAGGCAGGAAAATTGGGAGTTTGATCCCAGGTTGGGCAACTTAGTAACGCAGTAAGACTCTGTCTCAAAATAAAAATTAAGAAAGAAAGGAAAGAAGGAAGAAAGGAAGGAAGGAAGGAAGGAAGGGAGGGAGGGAGGGCCAGGGATGTAGCTCAGTACAAAGGCCTTGGGTACAAAAAGGTGTGTGATTTAATTCATTTAAATTAAATGAGTTAAAATAAATGCCACCTTTTGCTGTCCAGGCTGCGTACCAGGAAGGATGCCTGGCAAAGGAGCCAGTGATTTTGTGTCCTCCCCACTCCCAGGCAGGGTCCTAATTCACGGAGAGTACCACATGTGCTTGCCAAGGCCCTTCAGAACCCTACTCCGTAGTACAGCGCACGAGTAATATGGGCTCTGGTTCTGGAGTCCTGGGGCTCCGATGCTGGCCCTGCCACACTGGCTGTGTGACCTTGGATAAGCTATTTAACCTCTACATGCTGCAGCTCCCTCTCCTCTAGAATGTGGATAATTATAGGACCTACTTTAGAGAATCTCTGATATTTCCATGAAAGCATGCGTTCAGGGCATTTAGCACAAGGCCGGTGACATAGCAAACTCCCAATACATTGGGTAATGTTATTATTAGCATCATTATGTGGAAAGAAAAACATTGGGAGGTAGGTTGCAAAAGATCAATGACAGAGTGGACTCTAGAACCAAATAGATGATGGTGTTTGGGCCCACTGTGCTGTGGAATCCTTGCCAGAACTGAAATTAGACTGTTCCATGAGCCCATAAATGTAGCTGATTTATAGAAAATCCTTCTCTCCCTGTCTGGTTCTAGATTCCTTCCACTCCTGGAGATGGCCCTATGCTGATGGGAGGGCAGTTAATGAGCTCTTTCAGTCATGGTTAATTAGTAAGCATCTATTAAACAGAAAAACCGTGTCCTCGAGAAAACTTTAGGAGGTACACCACCTGCCCCTCATTCCCGTATTTGTCCCTTCCAGTAGCACTAACTGTATGTGACATCCACTGCCATATAGCCAGTGCTCAGAAAGTGTCCTCCACCCCTGTGTTGCAGGTGACTTGGGGGGCGGGGGGTGGGTGAGATGGTACTATACAAACCAGGGAGGCTTTCTGAGGCTAAATAAAGTCAGGATACCTGGGACTGGAGTGTGGGGGCAGCGTGGGAGCTGAAGTGCCCGGCCTGTGGGGTTCATGAGATTGTTCATGAATGACAAGTCACCGTCTCACCCCAGGCCTGATATGTGCTGCAGCAGGCTGAGCTAGGAGACCCACCCTCAGATGAGGGATCACCTTGCTCTGCAGGCACTGCTCTTGTCCCAGCACCTCCCTGTTATACCAGGAACTGGTTGGGCCAACTGAACCTCATTGTAGAGAAGGTTGCTTCATCAGGCTCTTTTGTCACTTTGAGGTGATCCAAATCCCAAGCTAGGGGTGTGGCGTGTATTGGGAAGAGCTCACTGAAGTGGAGTAGACACTCAAAGTTCAGAATATGGAGATTCATTTCCAGCTGGCTACCTCCAAGACCTGATTTTGCACCTGTTGTTTCTCTTATTTCTTTTCTTTTCTTTTCTTTCTTTTTTTTTTTTTTTTTTTTTTTTTTTTTTTTTTTTTTTTTTTGCAGGACTGGAGATTGAACTCAGGCCCTTGCACTTGTCAGGGAAGCACTTATACCAGTGAGCCATCTCCCCGGCCCTCTTATTTCTTGTCTTCTTGGGTCAAGACAATTATCTCTCCAAATACCCAAGAGTAAAAGATGGGCAGTTGCATGATGGGAAGGATCCAGGCCCAAAAGAGGGATGTATACAGCTTGGCAGAAGGATGTTAGAATATAAATTCTAACAGCAAGTTTGGGTCCCCCTGAATTCTATAAAAGACATGGTGCTAGGGAGACAGACGATATGGTACTTGATCCAAGGAACTTAATATTCTAAGGGGAAACAAAAGAAAACAAGTGACTCTAAATACAGTGTCAGAGAGGTACCAGTGAATTCATACAGCAGTCTGGAGAGAGGACGGGTGTGGGAAATGAGTGATGGGAGGACTTAGGGAAGCCTCACCCAAGCTGAGCACTGAGAACTAAAGATGAGAGAAGGACATTGGAAGAACAAGAAACAGCACTGCCAGAGGACAAAAGGAGACAGGGGAGTCTACTTGGTAAGGGGTCCAGTTTGGCCAGAATGTGATATATTTACAAGGAAAGTAAAAGAAGAAAATAGATGGGCAGATTGAGTCCAGAGCACAGAGTTTTAGTACCAGTATGAGGACTTTACACAGATTTGGTAGCATGCTGGGAAAAGAACAATTAAAAAAATAAATAAATAAAGAGGCAAAGACAAAAGGAGAGGGTGCAGGGTGCCACTGCCATCCTCTTGGAAGAAGGACAGGTCCAACCTGTCTCCATTGCATTCACATTTACTTGGAGAGATCCTTTTGCAGTCTCACCTTCCAAATCCCTGGGGCAGAATGTGAATTGAGAAATCAAAAGCAAGTGGGGAACAGTCCCTACCTCTGCCTCCCAGAGCCTCAGGGGTGGGTGACATGATCTGAGGGTGAGTCAGCAGGGTGGGGACCCCACTTCTGTTCATATCTACCACGTTGGGAATATAAAGGGCCACTGACGAGGCCCCGCCTCAGAGCACCCCAAGCTGGACATCATGAAGGTCCCAATCCTCCCTGCCATGGCTCTGCTCTCTCTGCTGGCGCTCCACTCTGCCCAGGGGGCAGCCCTGGAGAGGCGTGAGGTGAGCATCTCACCTGAGCTCTCATTAGCCTACCATTTGCTTTCCCCTCAATTTCTTAATCTTCTATCCATTACTGGAGAAGTGGCTTTATTTTGTATATAGCCAACGGCTGAAAGAGAAGCTGAGACTCAAGAGGGGAGGAAAGGAGAAAGGGCCCAGAACATTCCTGGGCAGACACTTAGGGTAACGGGCACATGCATTTCTGGAGGCCATGGGGAAGTGTGGGTGGAGACCAGATTACCGATGCTGCGAGGAAGCAAGGGCTGAGGAGGGTCGTCTGGGTTCAGCCTAATCCTTGCTTCTGCTGTTGCCCCACGAAGAGCTTCTGGATGGCTGGGGGCCTCCTACTACCTCTGGAGCCTCTGGAGATCATAAGATTCCTTGTGATCTACCATCTAGTCCTCAGATGGCAGGAATCCCAAGCCCCTTCCTATTTCTCTTGTATCCTAAGGTAGAGAATAGTGTCTATTCTGGATATACAAGTCTAACATAGGGGTCTCACACTCTACTAATGAGGATTTGAGTGAGCAGTGTGAATGAGCCAGGGGGGCTGTTGGGTCTCAGAAGAAGGGGATCAAAGGAGCCAAATCTAAAAGCAGGCAGTATGGATTTTATCTGACTGTTGCTAAGTGGGAAAATGGGGCCTTCCAGCGTCCAGTTAGCAGGAAGAAGTAAGTAGAAATCTGGACTTATGAATTCTTGCTCATTAAAAATGTTTAATTCAAACTGAAGCAAATGTGTCAAGCCACTATGAGATGCAAGCGTCACGTCTAGCTTGGGTCCTACGCGGTTGTGATGCTTTGTGATGAGGAAGAAATAGAGAAGCTGCTGAGACGGCTGCATGGAGAGGGGAAATCAAGGTTCCAGCATGAGTGGCAATAAAGTCACAGAGCGAACTAGCCTCTGCCAGTGGAATGCAAGTCGCTCACCTCAGCAGCGTGGCTCCCCACCGCTCACTCGTCTTCCACACCCAGCTTTACAGGCTGAGCATGGGTGTTTCTAGAACACCTCAAATCCCCCACTCTTGGAACTAAGTCGCCAGCAGAACAGCACTAGCTAGTTTTTCCTGGGAGGCATCCCCTTTCCTCCTCCCTCTCCCCCACCTGCTTCCTAGATGGATGCAGATGTGGGTTCAGAACTTCTCCGACACTTGCTGGGTATGCTCTGTCCCTTCCTCTCCCACATTGCCGACTGCATGCAGCACTGGAGCAGAGTGGCTTGCCTGAGGCCCCAAGGTGGACAGGGTGGAGCTGGCAGGGTACCACGTGGGAGAGGGCGCATTACATGATCATTTGCCTCTTTCTTTCTCCTTTTCCAGGAAGAAACTACCATCAGTAACTATGCATTAGGATCAGAGGTAAATATCCTGCCCTCTCACACTTCAGCTGTGAATGAACCCCTATCTCTGTGCACCTTAGCAGCTTCTTACTACCTTGCTTTCTTGCCTAGGCCTTTAACAACCAGTTCCTAAATATTGGCAAATGGAAAAATGTGAGTACGATTGCTTAGTGCTGGACCTGAAGTACCTAATAAAAAAGGAGATTAACAGCTTGGGAAGCTTCCACGGTCCCTTTCCAGAGAGCTGACACTATTCTCTGCCTTCCCCTGGAACTGATCTCATTCTGGCTTTTCTTCCTGCACAGAATTTCAACCCTGAAGAATTCATGAACTGGCATGCCCTCATGGATGTAAGTCCCTGGGTGCCCCTGCCCTCTTCTCATTCCGTGGCAAGGCAGGGTTCATGTTAGCCCCTTTGGCTCATTCCTGAGTTCTAAGAGGAGTAACTACATGGTCTGGGTGCTGTCCAATGCACTGTCAGTCAAACAAGAGTCCTCAGGAGGTGTCACAGCTATACTCTAATTTCCTAGGAAGGCACTCAGGGAACAGAGCCACAGAAAGAGAGCTAGAAGAGGAAGACTTTAGTCAAGATTTCACTGGACTGGGACCCGGGAGGTGGCTCAGTGAAATAAGCGCTTCCCTGGCAAGCACAATAGCCTGAGTTCAATCACTGGTTCCACCAAAAAAAAAAAAAAAGAAAGAAAGAAAAAGATTTCAGTGGACTGCCCTTAGCAAGGGGAAACAGACTCACCCAAACTTAGAAAGCTGAGGCAGTGACAGAGCCGGACCGGAGCTCGCATCTCAGGACTGCAATCTCAAGCAGTTGCCTACAGTTTTCAGAGCTTTACTTTCTTCATCTTTGATGTGGGGATGACGACAGCGCCCATGTCAACAGGTTGCTGCAGAGAAGTTAGTGTGAGGCAGACACAGAATAGTCCTTCAGTGAATGCTTCCAGATCCCTGCTCACGTGGCCTCTTCTTTTCTTCTTTTAGTTCATCAAGAGGTCCTTTCCTTTCTTGAACTGGGATGCCTTTCCTAAGGTAAGAGTGGTGTCCATCAAAATAATGGGGGCAAGATTGGTTTGCAGAAAGTGGCGGTAGACCTGAGAGAAAGAGGGGGACAGTGAAAGAAGAAGCTAAAGATCTTAGCCACTGTATAAAAACTTAGATGATTCCAGACATTCTTTACCATCAGTGTCTGACCCTACACTGGCTTCCCTGTGGGAACCCCAGCACCCAGGAACCCCCAATCTAACCACAGCCCCTCTTGCTCCAGCTGAAAGGACTGAGGAGTGCAGTTCCTGATGCCCAGTGACCACTCCCTCCAAGACCCAGGACTGCTGACCTTCACTGGAAGGACCTCACTGAAACATCTCATTCCTGTCCCACGTCTTCTATTTCCTGGTTCAGCATGCTAATAAAAACTTTCTGTCCAAGTGGTTCCTTTTGCTTCTTTTCTTTTTTGGGGATTTTGAGATAGGGTCTATGTGGAGTTCAGGTTGGATGTGAACTCACCATGTACTCCAGGCTGGCTTCAAATTCACAGTGATCTTTCTGCATCAGCCTCTCAAGTGCTGGGATGACAGGTGGGCACAACCTTGCCTGGCTCCAAGCAGCTCCTGAATCTGTGACCCTGACCCTCTCCTACTGGTCTGAAGAGAAGGATGAAGGTTGGTAGGCAGAGATTTTGAATTCTGAGAGACTTAAGTAGGAAGATGGAAGGAAGAACTGAGGACACATGCTTACTGAACCAGGCCCATTTTGCTCCACATGTGTTATGCCAAGAACAGAAGTTACAAGTTTATTCATGAATTCTTATCATGTGGAGAAAGGGATAAGCCCAAAAATCTGCCTCTGCATAATTAGGGCTTAAGGGTATTTATGGGATAAAGAAAGAGGGTGGTCTGAAGTATGCAGAAAGACAACAGGAGGCAAGGAAAGGTGGAGTGGTCTGCAGTCTGCACATCGTTAGCAGATTCCGTAGCTCTGCATAGGACAAGGATTCAGAGCGTGGCTTGTTAGCACTATCTGTGGGCAGCTTTTGGATTTCTAATGTCAAAAATCACCCATTTGGGCTGGTGAGATGGCTCAGTGGTCTAAAGCACCTACTTAGAACAAGCTAAGCTAAGCAAAGCACAGGGACCACGGTTCAATCCCCCAGCACCACATGCCAGCCAGCCCCACCCCCTGGTGGGCTGAGCTGGCCACACACAAAAATAAATAAATATAAATTTAAAAAGAAAATCACCCATTAGATACTTCTGCAGACCCAAGTAAGGGGGCTGGTAGCTATAGCTGGTATGAACTCTAGTAGGGTAGTAGGCTATCTCTACATTATTTTTAAAATTTTAATTATTTGTGTGTTTGTGTGTGTGTGTGTGTGTGTGTGTGTGGCCAGCTCAGCCCACCAGGGGGCGGGGCTGGCTGACATGTGGTGCTGGGGGATTGAACCGCGGTCCCTGTGCTTTGCTAAGCTTGTTCTAAGTAGGTGCTTTAGACCACTGAGCCATCTCACCAGCCCCCTATATCTCTACATTTTTAAAACATACACCCCCCTAAAACACTTCAATCATTACTAAGTAGACATGCATCAAAGGCATTATCTACAGCAAAGCTAGTAGCTTTCTATTGCTTTGTTGCTTTCTTCCTTGTGTATTTATTTAGTTGTTGGTGTTTTGAGAGAGAGTCTTGCTATGTAGGCCAGGATGGTCTTCAACTCAAGGTTATCCTCCTGCCTCAGTCTTCTGAGTGCTGGGATTACAGGTGTGTGCCACCACACCCAGCTTATTATTATTTGCTAAGGGACATCTAAAATCAGCAATGAAAGTATTTACTATTTCTCTGAAAATAAGACTTAGCTGGAATTAGCTTTGAAAACTAGAGATCAAAAATGCCAGCCCTAGTCAGCCCACCATGGCTTTACCTGCCTTACAGAGCAAGAGAATAGCAATAGCACATGACGGTGATAGCACGATGCCTCTACTTTTTCTCTTGTGG